AAAAAAAAAAAAAAAAAAAAAATCCCTTACATATGAAGACCACAGGTTGTTTGGAAAAATAATCCATGCATACAGTAAGCATAAGAAATGTGAGGTAGCAAAATTCACATCAGATAAACTTTAAGACAAAGCATCACTAGGAATCAGAGGGAAATTTCATGATGATAAGTGAGTCCATACATTAGGAAGGCATACCAAATATGTATGTATGTAATCACAAAGCTTCAAAGCACAGAATAAAAACTGATTGAATTAAAGGAAGAAAAAGACAATCGTACAGCTGTGAGTGGAAACTGCTCTCTAAGCAATTGATAGCACATTCAGAACCTCTCCTTCCATCCACATGTCCCCACCCCTCAAAATAGGAAAAACACATAAGATATGAAAAAGATTATCAGCAATTCTGACCTAATGGATACTGATAGAACATTACATCAATGAACTATGGAATAAAAATTCTTTTTTAGTGCTCTTGCTGCATTTAAGATGTACCAAGTCCAAATGTTAAGCCATAAAATATCTCACATTTAAAATACTAAGACTGTACAGTATATGTTTTGTAATTGCAACGGTATGAAGGAATTGGTAACAAGACATCCAAACTCCAACCCCCAAATATTTGGAAAGTAACCAATATGTGTCTAAATACTCCATGACTCAAGGAATAAATCACAAATTATAAAGTATTTTTAACTGAATGAGAATGAGAATTAAATGTAACTTTTGTGAGATGTAGCTAAAGAAGTACTCAGAGGGAAACTTAAAGCCTTAAATGTTTATATAACAGGAGAAGAAATGTCTAATAACAAGTGATTTAAGAAACTAGAAAGAGAATAAAGGTCAACCCAAAGTAAGTAGGAGGATGGCAATATTAAAAGAGAGAAATCAGTGAACTATAAAACAAACAGCTAAAATCTGGTTCTTTGAAAACACCAACAGAATGGATAAATCCCTAGTGGGAATAATGAAAAAAAAAATCAAAACACAAATTATCAGTATCATAGTGCAGTGGGGCGCCTAGGTGGCTCAGTCAGTGAAGTGCCTGACTTCGGCTCAGGTCATGATCTCATGGTTCGTAAGTTTGAGTCCCACCTTGGGCTCTGTGTTCCAGAGCCTGAAGCCTGGAACCTGCTTCAGATTTTGTGTCTCCCTCTCTCTCTGCCCCTCCCCTGCTCTCTCTCTCTCTCTCAAAAATAAAGTATTAAAAAATATTTAAAATAAATTAAAAAAGGATAATGAAGTAACAAGAAAATTGACAACTTAGATAAAATGAACAAATTCCTTGAAAAACCAAGTTACCAAAGCCATGACTAAAATGTAACAGAAAATTAATTCTATCAAAATTTAAGTAAGAAATACCTCTCTTATAAAAAACTTCATTCAGAAAATAGAACTGGAAGAAATACTTCCAAATCATTTTGAGGCCAGCATCATCAGCCTGATACCAACATTTAAAAGACATCACAAAAACAAAACCCAACATGAAAACAAAAACAACAACAAAAACAAAAAATAACTACAGACGAATCATTATCTTTTAAAAATGCAGGTGTCAAAATCCTCAAGGTCAAACTGAATCCAGCAACATATATATAAATTATTCATCATGACCAAGTGGGGTCCATTCCAGGAATGCAAGATTGGCTTTTATTGGCTTATGTTATATAACATTAATAACACCATTTCATCTTTATTATTTAAAAAGGCATATGAAATAATACATTTATTATGTGTCTAATATATAGAGAAAAACAATGGACCATGATTCAAAGAGCATTCAAATCTTAGGCCTACGACTGTTATGTGAACAGGGATTAGTCACAACCTCTGCAATTTTTTCATCCGTAATGGCATAAGAATGGTATTGATCTCTGAAGGCCATGTTTAGAAATGTATGAACAAAAAAAGTGTTTTGTAGCATAAAAAACTACACAAATGTTAGCTTTGAGTTGTATATGGAATACACTGTAATTTATATTTAAGATACTTTTTCAGTTGTCTGTACCCGCATATATTGATTATTTAGAAGGTGCAAACTTTATATTTAAGATATTGCCTTTAATGTATAAGGCCGGATAACCTGACAGAACTATAATCAGGGATAAATGATCAAGTCAGTGGTACAGAGTGTTGTAAGAGTTCTCGTTTTGGTAATCATATAAATACATCACCAGTGGAGGGGGCTGGGTTGGGAGTAGGAAGTAAAAGGAGAACATTTTAGAAGAAAAATGACCTGAGTATCACAAGGATTTATTTGGGAGGAAGTGAAGAGTTTGGCAACAGTGTAACAACAGCAACTAACATTTAGTGAGTGTTTACTATGTATGTCAAGTACTTTAGATAGGTTATTGCATTCATTTCTGACAACCTTTAAAAGAGTACTATTACCCCGATTTTATGAAACTGAGGATCGGAGAGGTTAGTAACTTACCCAAAGTCATAAAGCTAATAAGTAGTAGTGTTGAGATTTTAATCTAGGTCCCTCTGACTCCCAAGCCTAAACTATTAACCAAAAGAATTTGTGAGACACTAAAATGAGGAAAAGAATGAAGAAATTTCCAGTGAGGATACAGTCAAACCTTGGAGCTATAAAGAAGTCTCTCAAGAAAAAAAAGTATAGGGTAAGAAAAAGTGAACAGGTGGATGACCCTGTCTGGCATAGCAAAGTAGGAAGAACAACTGTCAGGTAAGACTAGAAGAGTCGGGTAAAGGGAAGTAACAGCAAGGCAGAGTACACCATGGAAGTCAGAGTAAGAGAGGATTTCAGCAAGGATCAACCACACAGTCAAATATGCCAAAAAATAAGAACAAAAAAAAAGTTGGGGTGTCTGGCTGGCTGAGGCAGTAGAGCATGCAACTATTGATGTTGGGTTGTGAGCTCAAGTCCCACGTTGGGTGCAGGGATTAGTTAAAAAATAAAATCTTCAAAAAAAATAGAAAAAAAGCTGATAAAAGATAGTTGAATTTGGTACTCATGTCATTAGACTGCGCATGGAGAATTAAAACACTGTAAAGAAAGAGACAAAAATAGGGGGCGTGTAGGTGGCTCAGTTGGTTAAGCGTCCAACTTCAGCCCAGGTCATGATTTCATGGTTCATGAGTTTGAGCCCTGCATCAGGCTCTATGCTGACAGCTTGGAGCCTGGAGCCTGCTTTGGATTCTGTGTCTCCCCCTCTCTCTGTCCCTCCCATGTTCATGCTCTGTCTGTCTCTGTCTCTCAATACTAATAAATAAATGTTTTAAAAAATTAAAAAAAAAATCTTTCATATAAAATGACTAAAGTAAAGCCTAGACTCAAAAGAAAAGCAATAGGAGACAGTTCATAACTTAGTTTGGAGAACAGTATGAGTATGAAATATATTTTATTAACAGATACAGTGGCGGGGGAGACAACAGAGGAAAAAATACAAATACATCAACAGACTACAATAACAGTTTTTAACTCTAGGAAGTATAATGATCCTTTTTAAAAACAGATTTTAAACTCAAAAGGCAAGCTATTACTACTCCTCTAATTGCGCTACAGAATCCACAAATTCACACACTGCTAACCTGGCTTGCTGCTTGCTTTCGTATTCTTTAAGGTAGCTGGTGGTGTTGGGAGGATTTTTGCAGGTGTATACGTATTTAAAGATATTTTTCTTCTCATTACTGGACTGGAACGTGAAGCTGCAGAGGCTGAAAAGAAAAAAACAAAACAAAACAAAACAGATATGGCAGTTCAGTAATTTCCTACCAAGTCCTTACATTTAGAAATTTCTAATGACATATTTAGTGGACTTAGGACTATACATTACAGGAGAAAATAGACAATGCAAGGTTTACAAAGTAAATTCGGCTACATCATCTTTCCTATAAAAAGTTCTCTCATGCTCTTAGCCCAATAGATGTTCTGTTTATACTGCAAATAATAAGCATTTAACAGTATTTACTAATGGCATGCCAAGAATAGAACAATGGACTTAATTTTATTGTCCTGATAGAAACTCAGATTCTTAAGGGATGGCAGAGAGCTAATGGCATAATTTTACTGCCTAGTTAAAAAAACAAACAAACAAACAAACAAACAAAAAAAACTCCCAAATTGTTTTTCTCTTAAAAATATGAAGTAGAGATTCAGGGACAGTTACTTTATAAACACTATGGTCTATTAATCTATTATATTTATAAGTAATAAATCAGACTGTCTCCCTATATTACCTAGTGAGATTTATCTTAATGCTAGGAATTTTAAAGATTTTTTTTTCCTCTTTCTAATCAAGGTGCAGTGGTTGAGAGGCATGAAAAGGAAAAGTACGGTAATTCTGAAGTATGAAGTCCTCTGGGGAAGGAGAGCTTCTGGCATGAGCTTCCAGGTTCTTAACTGAAGGGAGGTGAGGAGTTAACAAAACACCAACTCGCCTGCTTTTGCAATTTTTGGAGGACCTGATAGCAATAAACAGCATGTCTCTGAAAAACAAATACGTGAGCCAGTCACAGCAAATGTGTTTCATGTGGCTGACCCGTATCTACACTGAATGAATACAAATCCCATTGGCAGAAGCTCCAAGTAGTCACTAACGATATAACATACAAGTGATGACAAAAATCCCGAAAGCATCATGTAAAGCACTACACCACTACTAAGCTCTTTCCTGCTTACACGTTTGATCCTGTCTCGTTAACTTCCATCTCTAACTTATCCAGTTAGTATTTCCACACCTTTCCCCCCATCTGATACTGTTAGTGTTCCCTTGTAAGCTAACTTCTAGTTGCCACAAAATTGATTTAATTTTGTTTGAAGTGAGGAAAAAGCCTTTCTGAATGACAGAGGATTAACAATATCGGCTTCCTTATAAATAGCACAAAATCAATATAGTCTACATTATAATGCTAATTCCTTGACAATTCAGGGAATTAAGTATAAAATAATATAAATATACTATGATTACTAAATATTAATTCTGCAGTTACAGTATAAAATAGAGGATTCAGAGGCTTCTATTACAGCTGGCACCTATTTTCTTTTCTTTTTTTAATATGAAATTTATTGTTAAATTGGTTTCCACACCACACCCAGTGCTCATCCCAACAGGTGCCCTCCTCAATGCCCGTTACCCACTTTCCCCTCCCCGCCACCCCCCATCAAACCTCACTTAATTCTGCAGCTACAGTATAAAACAGAGGATTCAGAGGCTTCTATCATAGCTGGCACCTATTTTCTTTACTACTCAAGAAGAACCAAAAAACCATACACTCAGAAGACATGAGTTTTTTAGTATTGCTTGACCACTAACCACCTGATTTCCTCAATGGTGTCTAAGTTTTTTTTTCTTTAAAGAATAATTTTTTTCTCAAATGAGATCTTAAATAAAATAGATGAAAACATATACTCTAGTTGAAGCAGCCATGCACGACCTAAGGCCTAACCATTTAGCACCATCTTCCTAATGGAATTTCCAAAAGCTCTTGGGAATACAGTCTGAAGACCAATGAACTAGCTTGATTTTAAGGTTTATTCAACTCTATGAATTGCATTAACTGTATTTACGTTCTTATCTAGTTTCCTTAGTAAGTAATGGCATGAAATTTTAAGAGAACTAGAGAGAATATGGGTACACCTTATATCCAGGATATAGAGAAGAGCTAATCTGAACTGGAAAAGGAATTTAATACCCTTCATTAATACACCTCAATAATATACTCTGATTAATTGAATTCACTAACCACAGAAATAAAGCCATCATAATAAAACAGCACCACAGAATATACCTTCAGAGATTTTCTTTCTGTAAATGTTCTAGCACAATTCTCTTTCCAAAACAGATGTCATTACTGCTGTTACCTGTAAGTCACTCACTGAAAATCTTCTAAATTCTAAATAACATTGATATCTATCCTAAGTTCTTTTTTTACTAATTAGAACTTTTCTTTCATCTTTATTTTAAGATTATAAATCCTTGCCCCAGTGAAGCTGTGAAACATCAAATATAAAGGGGTAAATGGTAAATGAGAATTAATTCAGGTTCTCCACTGCATTCTGAGGAAAAGCATTTTCCATTCTATCAGCTAACAGGGAAAAGAAGATAAACATACTTCATTTTCCTAACTTTGACCTCACACAGCTTAAAGACGTTATTTCATTTGGAGTATTATCAAATCTCAGAGTCAGACACATTCACAGGAAAACTTTGAAATTAAATCCTACTTCCTAAAACCATTCCTAAAGTGAAATATTTTAGAACATAAACCCAAGTATCTCTCCATTGCCATCAATGATTGAAACCTGACCTCTACTACTAGACGTGGAAGAAAAGGGAAGCCCACTATACTGGAGAAATGCAAGGGGTGCCATTTAGACAGAATACAATGTGACGAGAACGCTCTAGAATAATACAATGTGAAAGCCAGAAAAGGGAAGAGAACAGCAATACACGAAAGTGGCTTTCATTCCAAGACCTCTGGTTTCATTCTTCAGAGAAACACATTTATAGTATGCTCCTTACAAAAAGAAGAAAGGTATACACTCAATGTTTGTGACTTTACAAAAAAATAGGACTAGCCCTAGCAAGATTCTTAACTAAGCAGAGCATGCTCTCCCAAACTGGATGCTTCCTAAACTGGAAATTCCCACAGGCTGAAGGATCCTATAGAGCTGAGGATCATAGTAGTCAGCTGACTTCTCATACCCAAAAAAGGTACCCCTAAAGGTTTCCCAGAATGATGTCCCTCAGAATAGTGCTACATGGTGTCTAAATGTGTCACCAAAAATGTGTCTTCGCAAAAAATAAGTTTTAGAAAATCTAAGTATACAGTTTTCCTACATTAATGTAACTCTGTCTCTCCAAAGGGAGGCGGGATATAATACACAGTTTCCAAAATTTACTGAGTCATGAATCCCTTTTCTTCACACACATGCATTAACTTTTGCAGAATATTTTCTGAAGAACATAATTTGAAAACCTGTTGTCCTAATTTGCTCTCTTTAGTCAAGAGCTCCTTCTGAATCATTGTGAATATGTACCAGAGGTGGTGAGGCATGGAATGGTATTTGTGCATGTGTGGGTTAATGACAAATGGTATTTTGTAGTTTTTAAAAAAACTACAATAAAAGTTTATTGTAAAATCACACACAGTAAGAAAATGAAAAAAAGGCCATCAGTCTATATTGTTGACTTCTATTGCTGGGTCTTAGATTTTTTTTTTTTTTTTTTTCCTTTTTTGGGAGGAAAGTTTTTTGGGAGTTATAAAGAAAAGTGGTGCATTCCACATCAATAACACCAAAGAATTTCAAATAATGTTCCTTTATACCCCCTTCTCTCCTAAAATTTTATTCACTATCACTACTTGAGTTTGTTGTAATAATTCTTCTTATAGTCTGATAATATCACTGCCACAAAATAATGAAACTAATAACAATAACAACAACAACAACAACAATAACAATAATAATTATTTTCCTACAAATTTCAGGGGTCTTCCGTGGAACTTCACTTGATGGAGAAGCAATGGAAGCAAGAAATTCATCCACCTGCTTTAAAGACAGGGCATTGTGAAGAGTTTCTAGAGGACAAATAGATGGCACCATGGAATACAATTCAAAGCCTGAAAAAAAGAAATGAAAAAAAATTTGGATATTTAAAAAATAACTAAGAAGGAAGAAGACCATTGCTTAGAACTGTACAGGTTAGGTCTTTCCAATCTATCACATGCAATCACATGAGATCTCTGAAGTCATGACACCAGATGCTATGCAATATGGGACTGGAACAAGATGTGACAAAGATTTCATTTTAAATGTATTCACATAGTACCGCATGCACACAATTTCATTCTACACTTTAGTAAAATCTAAGAATGATATTTAAAGAAAAAAAAACTGGGGGGGGGGACAGAAAAATTACATTGTTTAAGTTTGTACTTTATAAAAATCAGGTCTATTTGACAGGTGAGTAAGTTGATGCCATGATGTGTCTCTGATGCTAGGATGTTAAAATTAACTTCTTGTTGAAAAATGATTACATTGTAGTTACTTGAGGAGTGATTTTAAGTAACTTTTCTAGTAATACCAAGGCCAACAATACTCTCTAGTGTGACCTGAAAAACCACACTCATTCATTTATGCTGAAAATCAAATTCCAAAACACATTTTACCTACCTTTATTGAAATAACTCAAATATTGTATTGTTGGAAATTGCTAGCTGAGTACCGTTAGGCCAAGTAAAAAGCAATACAAAATACAGACATGTTTGCATTCAACAATGGCACAGAAATAGAAAAATTTCATGAAACAAATCATGCACATATATATTAATACCATCAGTGAAACAAAACTGCTTACAATATACACTTTTTTAAAAAACAAGATATAGGTTATTCGCTTTTTATAAAAATTGCCTGTTGATTTAAATTTTATTCAACTGAATGGCTTTTAAAATTGCTCTCATAAACAATTAAAGTAGTAAGTCTTCCTGCACCTCTTCTTTCTAACATTCAAACTAATTTCCCTCCAAAGGAAATACTTTTAATACTTAGATTAAGATTTTATATAAAGGCTAACGTTATTAAATAAAAAGTAAAAATTAATTAAACTCAAACAGACTACAAAATTCTCTCCTTCAATAGGCATGTGCTCATTTTAACACTGACTGATATTTACTTAATTTCAGGAGGAAACAGTGACCCAAGAACTGACTAATTCTTGGCTGGAATAGAGAAACTGGTTAAAAGAGAATCTAATCTTTCTATGAAAATAACCAAAGGATTTACAAAATTGATATGTTTGATTTTCAGGTGCAAACCAAAGCATGACGGAATGTTACATATGCTTAAAGAACAAAACAAAACAGAAACTATACCATAACAGCAGCTAAAGCACCTAAATAAAGCACTAAAAGAATTGGGCTTGCACAAGTAATACATTTTTTTAAAGTATAAGACTCATGCAAATAAGCGCAAACCCTTTCTTTGCATTACACAAAACTTAGCAATGTTATGTTTTTTATCCTTTCATCAGAATGTTGCTAAGTATTCTGTAACAGCTATTTCCTTGCATTTGCCTGTTAGATTTTATAACAGGCAAATAATAATATAATCAGGTTCCTCAGGACTGCATTTTCTCCCCATTTATCTTTAGTAAACTTTGTATTTAATGCACAATGAAAGGGTTAGCGCAGCAATTTAAAAAGCCACCCTGCTGTCATGTTTAGAAGCTATAAAAACATACCACTGGAGCCTAGACATTCCACAGAGGAAACGGACCAGCACCTATAGAGGTGTAGGTGTTCTGCACAGAGGCCCAGAAAATAAGGTAAAGCACTGTCAGAAGATACTTGTTTCACCATGTTCCTTGAACTAAAGATGAAGGGAGGGGGTAAGTCCATGATATGTATTAAGATGGAAATAACATGAAAGTTAGGGGGAAATAAAAAGTGCAAGAGTCAAATGACAATTCATAGGACAGATAAGACAACACAGTATAAAAAAGAAAAAAAATCTTGAAAACCCCAAAGAAACATTTCTAGAATTGAAAGACATGCATTTTAAATGCATTAAGTCACATGTGTGGAAAATCCACATTTTTAAAAAAGCTTTAGCCAAAGGAATATAAAGTTACTCTATTTTCTGTTAAAGTTTTTTTTTTTTTTTTTTTTTTTTTTTTAAAGCTTCAGTAAACACAGATTTCTCCTATGTAAAACTTTCCATACTGGCTGTAAATACATAAGCATTCTGCACAAAAACTATAGTCAGTCTTAAACCTGCAATGTCTCTTCTTAGAATTTTGTGACTTGTTTTTCTTGTGACTTTGGTTTTTCTTCTAAGAAGTTCTTTAGAAGCTGCAGCTGTAGCAAATAAGGATCTTTTTCTTCAGAAAGTAGCATTTAAAGAGCTACAAAGGAGGAAAAGCACATAAGCTTTAAGGGTAAATTTTCTTGTTGAGGATGAGATCTTCTTACTCCACCTCCAGAAGTATTTAGTGCACTTCTATAGGATCCAGAAGGGGGAGAATGGCTATAAACTTGTGTTTAATCCTTCAGTTTCATCTAAGTTTTTGAAAGACTTGACTTGAATTTTTGAAAGGTGTATTTGCAGTTAAAAGGAAAAAAAAATTCCAGGGGATAAAAGTACCTTCATTCCGAATAAAAGCAAAAACGGGTATGTTTTCTTTTAAATTCTTCTATCCTCAATTACTTACAAGTGGTCAGTAAATATTCCCTCTTGACCCAGAAGAACAAGCTCTGTGTAAGAAAGCTGTAATAATGCAACAATTCAGTTTATAAACAATGGCCACAAAAACACTTTACTGTTCAGCCTCAGAAATTGAATTTAACTGAATGAGCTTTCTAGATTTTTAGCTTAGTGTTCTTCCTATCAGAAGTTCTCCAAATTTTAACGAAAAGCAGTGGTACCAAAAAGAATTGGTTGCTTGACAACAGCAAACCATATGGCCACATGAGGATAAAGTAAATACTGGATAAAATTTTCAGAGGTCTCCAGACCAGGTTGAGTTTGCTTAAGACAAAGAGCCACTGATAAATGTTACACAGTGAAATCTGCATCTCCTAGTTCCCAAGAACTTTTCAAAGACATCATCTGGCTGTTTGACAACCATGGCTCAGTATTTTTAAAATTTGTGTAGACTGATCACTTGAGAAATTAGAAGGGATTTTTAGGTGCTAATTTAGTATTAAAACTCATCATCATTGTGGTCATTTAAAAATTTGAGATGAGTGATGTTAAATGATTGTGTAAATTACAGCTGAAAAAGGGAGCGAGACAGTATCAATATTTTGGATTAATAGTAAGTTGGAATTACATGCCAACTGAAATTAAGAATGGAGAAATGAATGATACTGTATACCCCACAGTTTGAAATAAAAGAAAAATAAAAAAGGATGAAGCAGGGGAGTATCTTTTAAAATAAAAGCAAAACGTACCATTGGTTGGGTGTCGAGCAAATGAGATAGAAAACCTTTTAACAGCAGAACCGCGTGTGGCGTCTGAGAAAGAGAAAAACAGGTACCTGAAATTCGTAATAGCTACCAAAAGAAGGACACTTAAAAAAAGAGGGAAAAAACAAATATATAAGGAGGTTAGAATTAGGTGACATGCAGAAGGGAATGAGAGAGGGTACTGGTTAAAAGTAAAATGGCTTGAGGACAGAGGCAAAGTGTTTAATGAAATACACAAAAGAAAGAAAAGCAGGATGAGCCAGCAATTCTGTTAAGTCCATGTTTTACTGTCTTAAGTAAATTTGTGGATATATGAAAAGAAGTTTTAAATAAATCAAAGGGTAATAAACACTCCTATTAATAGAAGGGACAAGCTTCCAGAAGCCTCCAAGGATAGTCCAAATATTAAAACTTAAGGTACATTAACAACAGTGAGAGGCCATCCAACTAGGGATTCTAAAATATTCTCATCATATGTTTTTTTTTATAAAAATATTGCCAAGTATAGAAGTATATTTTCTTCTACTTATCTACATTCCATTCACTTTATTTTATTTTTATCAATATCAGTAAGTAAAATAAGGCATAACGATAAACAAAAGTTTAAAAGATCAAGGAAAGATTTATTCTTTATAATATGGCTTATCAACTAGCTAAAAGACCCAATACATGTAATGCAGCTCTAAACTTCACATTTGAACAAACTATTTATTGAATAAGTACTGTATGTCTAACTACAATTAACTCTTTGATGAAACATGAATCCAAGCTATGGATAAGAGAGCACTGGTTGTCATTTAGGCAAAGGGTGCTAGGATTCCATTTGAGTTAGTCAGTGGGCTTAGGCTTGTCTTTGAGAAGTACTATATGCTCATGGGTGTGTGCATGGGTGTGGATATGAATCTGTGTGTGCATGTGTGCACATACCATCTATGCAGCCAGAAGAAGTCAGCTTTTTACGATGAGTACGAGCATAATCCTGTAGGTTAGGTGCGCTTGAAGAACCCCCGAGCACCGAGGTGCTAAACAGGCCCGCACAGTGAGACCCTGATGGGAGTTAGAGAAAATACATACACAACGGGTGTTCTTCCATTCACATTGGGAATTCATGCAGCATGCAATAACATGGCTCTTACCACACTTATCTGGCAGTGCCTTGAACAGGCTCACAATTCGCTTGTAATGTCAAGTTTAATATAATCACCACCACCATTTATCATATGTACAAATGAGGGTACTTAACACTGTATAAAATGTTGTCTTTGAGGAAAATAATATGCCTACACAATTAGACATATACATTTTAAAACTATTAAAAACACTACTATAGAAGTTAATTTAGGTTGATAAGGGATTCTGTCAATTTGCATTAACAGGTCATATAAAGAAATCTCTTCGCACAGATCTAGTCACAATAGGTCAGCATTTTTGAATGTATGTCTGTAAATGAAGAATTTTTTCTGAAACCCTTGAGTTAAGAATCATCAACATATGTTATGAAATAAAACAAAGCTTACTAATTTGTGAGAAGACCAGGTAAGAACAGCTTCTTGTAGGTCATCCAGGCCTAAATCATCTTATACTTCTAATACTTGAATGACTTAAGATCTTAATTAATAAGACCCTATGAAACACATTATTAGCAAATAAAACACAGCCAATACAACTGATGTTTAGTTTGTAGTCAAAGTCTTCACACCCAAGTAAAACTTTTACCACTAGGTGAAGATTAAATAAATTTCTATCAAATACATTTTGATACATAAAGGAAGATCATGTGGGAATATTAAGTTACCAACACAAGCTATACGTAATTAACTAAAGATATTCAAGTAAGTAGGCATCAACAAGCAGTTCATATACTTAGTATACAGAGCAAAGTACATATATAGTTGAAAATTACTTATTTATGCTTTTATTAAACCTATTTAGACAACTACTTACAGAAAATACTATGCTATTACCTCATATAGTTTATCAACAATGAGCTTAAAACCGGTAAGTTTAGCAAGATCTTTCTCGATGTTGCTTTGCAACATTATTTGCAAAGAACCAATTATGTTCTATAGGTCAAGAAAGAGTAACAACTATCTCTGTGCATTAGTTTTGCTTTGGTTTCTCTTAGGAAATAGTCAAAAGGAAAATTAATACACCAAGAAAGGGTTTAAAACACTCTTTAGTAAATAACTTAAAAACAACAACAACAACAATTTTTTAAAGTAGGCTTCACAATAGCACAGAGCCCAACGTGGGGCTTGAACTCATGACCGTGAGATCAAGACCTGAGCTGAGATCAAGAGTTGGATGCTTAATCCACTGAGCCACCCAGGCGCCCCCCTAAATTTTTTTTTTTTAATCAGAAAAGTAGAAGGTTCTGTTTTGTATGCAATAGCGAAATCACAATTTTATCAAGTAGGAAAAATGAAGTTCCTTCCTAAATTAAAGCATTTTGGGATTTTAATTTATAGAATACAAGACTAAAAACTAGCATTGGCAATTGGACTAAGCAGTTTACATTATGGACATTTAAAAAAAATTATACATCAAAATTAAATGCTATTTCTTGTTCATTTTATCAAAGCTTTATTGTATACTTTGAGTTGTACAACTCAACATTTTTGAATTAGTGTATGTTAAATAAAAATAAAGCATAGCATTTGGTCATGCTTTCGTCACTGAAGAGTTAGTTTTACATGTGTGCAAAATAGGGAGTTGAAGGTCTGGAATTCAATTTCCTTTAGACCACATACCTACAGTAGGGCTCTGCTTCTGTTCCACAAGAGTTCTTGGTGTTCGCAGATAATTAGCATTTTCAGATACAACCTGCACAAGGAAAGCAAAATAAATGAGGTAAAACAGTAAAATCAATTTAAAAGTCCATACTTCATTTGCAGCCTGTTCCAGACAGACAAAGGTTAATAAGCTGTATGATAAATATTAGTAGAAATACATAAAACATGAAAGATCATGCAAGATCCCCTTCTGAAGGGAGTCCATTTCATATGAAGTCCTTGCAATGAAGTGGTGCAAAGCAGGCATTCAGAATGAAATATCATGTATGAAACAAGACAGATGAAAAGAAACAATTAATAGATTGATAAAATTTCACACTCTCTTAAAAGAAGCCAAATGCCCACTTTTAAACAGCTCCTGTATTTGAAGGGGGGAAAAAACAATCACAAACAAAAGAAAAGACAGACAGAGACTGTTGAGGTCACCATACAATTACTGATCCATGCACGGGCTTTATCAGAGTAACCTTTAAATATTCACAGCCTTAATGGATACCATAATCCCTTTTCCTATAATCAAATGCATTATACTTCCAAAAGGAAATTGCTGAAATTCTCAAAAAAGTCATGTGTAACAGCATGGAAGTGTAAAACCTTCCACTATAAAACAAAACAAACCCCCAAACCCTAGTATTTTAAATTTGCAAATGTCATCACAGAAAGTCCTTCTGAAATCATTTAACTTTGGCCCACATTATTAATGGGCACCTATACATTATAACCTCTCATAAAGAGAGCATTAAAATATTACACAACTAAACCCCACGCTGTATATATCCCTTAAATTAGATACTTCCAGATAATACAATAGTGAGGGAGAGAACAATCAGTATTACATGAGCCGTGCTAATTAACACAGGACCATGTAAATCTTGGATTTTTAAAAAATGTTCAAACTCTCAGCAAATTCCAAATGGAGTCTAATATTTCAATTATGGGGGAAATGGTTACTGAATTTTCTTACCATCAAATTATGTAATTTTGTTTCTAAATGTTTTAAAGGACAACTACGCCAAAAAAACAATTTCTCTCCTTTAAAAAAATTTTTTTATTAACACTAAAAGTTCCAGGAGTATAAAACTTATTAACTTTTTAGTCCTGGATATTTAAAACCCTCCCAGTAAAAATCCTAAACACATGCAAGGTAAGTGGTTTCTTTCCCTCAAATATTGTCAGATATCACAAGCATTTGAAAATTAAAAATTAAAATACAGAAGGATTTACTCTGATGTTAAATATAAGGGATTAGATGTCCTCAAAGACAGCTATTTGTTGCTCTGAATGCAGGTAGAAAATTTTAATGAAGTAAAGTTTAAAAACCTGTTGCCATGAGCCAAAAATACTGGATGTGAAAGCCAATGATTTGGGGGAGACAGGGGAAGAAGTGATTTGTTCCCCTGATCTGCGTCTTCGACGCCCAGTACCCACACCACTGGTATAATGCAGCCAGGTACCAGTACCCTCTGGGCTAGACACACTCAGGGGGCTCTCTTCCTGGAAGTGAGAAAGGGGCAAAAAAAAAAAAAAAAAAAAAAAAAAAAAAAAAAAAAAAAAAAAAAAAAAAAAAAAAAAAAAAAAAAAAAAAGCAGAGCATGCAAAGTTAGATACAACAGAGCCAAATGATCAGAAAGAAAAAAAAATACAGTTTGTTTGCATTTGTTTAACAATTTTTAAGAAACTATTAAACAGTAATTTGGGAGCCAAATAATTCAAATATTTGAGAAACTGACAGGAATGGCTTACAAATCTAATTGCATGTGACAACTGTAAGAATTACCTTATTATCTTAAATATACAAAATATCTATACTGCTTAATAGTTGTTCCTTGTCTCTTAAAACTGGAAAGATTTAACAATTTTCTGTCTTAGCAACTTATAAAATATGAAAGTATTGTTTAATTTTAGATATTCAAGACGTTTTGTGCTATACTAACCTTTTAACCCAAAGCACTAAAGAATTGTGCAAAGGGTTAAAGAGATTTCAATGTATGTAAGGTAGAAAAGAAAACCTGTCTGCCAGCCATATTAAAAAAAAAAAAAAAAAAGAGGTAAGATGGATTCAAACTGCACTTGTTTCCACTTTCAAGTTATTTATTTGTTTACCCCCTCCAAAGATTATTCATAGAGTTCAATAGGCAAAACATGCAGCAAACATTCTCATTTACATGTTTGCATGTTCAGGTTTCAGACAGTGAGGACAGAGTAAAATCTACTTGCACAAAATGAAGAGAATAGTCTTTCTCTCTGTGTGTCTTTTGGAAGTACAAACTTCTGATATCCATGGAGATGGTGGACGCTGGAAAAAGTCTTCAAGGTTTTACTTGAATTATTTACCTTATGGAAGTAAAAGTTTAGCATGGCATAGAAATAATCTCTTGAAAGCAACTATTTAAGTATGAGAAAAAGGTTTATAAATGTGTTCTGCGTCTTAAGAATTAACAGGGCAGTAATTTTGTTGAAGATTTTATAAATATAAATGTGTTGCAAAATGGACTCCCAACACATTTGGCTGTATCAGTGTTATAACGTTTTTGGAGTGCAGGAGAAGGTTTAATGGTGAAATTTTGAACAATCTGATTAATTTGCAGATTGCTCTTATTCAACAACATCAAAATCACTGCCCTCACACAAATGGTAGTTTAGGTTATATTAATATGTCATTTCCCGATTTTTTTTAATTAAAGATACCTGAACATAACCCCAGGTTTCTCATTTTTAAATTAAGTATAGTAGAACATAATTCCAAATTCTACAGTTGTTAGTCATCCTCTTTTATAATTAACTTAGAATATCATAGAAATCCTAACTAGTACACAATTTTTATTATAAAATTATAACAATCTATTTTACTGATGGATGTTTTTCCTATTCATACTTGCCCAACTGGGTCACAGATATATTTGAAATTTGAGAATCCTAAAGCACTTATGTTTGTATAATTTGAGGCTACAGAAATGAGCATAATTCTTTTTTGTTGTTTATATTCTGACTCAACAACTGCTAAATAAATGTTATACCTAACTCTTAAGTCTTGGCATGTTTAATTATCAACAAAAAATATTTTTCTAATTAAAAGTTTATGGTTGCTTCTATCTTACAATCTTGCTCTATGCTTTTACTTTAGCATTTAGACAACATTTATAAGCACTAATCTCAATCAGTGCTGGGGAGAATCATGCTACTGAGAACACAGATAACCCAAAATTAAGGTATTTAAAATATAAAAATATATACAGGTGTTAAATATTTACTTAACTAGCTATAATCCAACTCTTCAACTTTCCTCTTAAGGCTTCTTTTAGTAGTTATTTAAGTGTTATTCTATTAGAGAACATAAGAACTAGCTTTATTTAATTGTAGACAAAGGTAAACTTTCAACTATCTCTTCAAATTTTCAAATTCCTGGGGCGCCTGGGTGGCGCAGTCGGTTAAGCGTCCGACTTCAGCCAGGTTCAATCGATCTGTGGTCCGAGTCTGAGCCCGCTGCTTGGTCGGCTGATGGCTCAGAGCCTGAGCCTGTTTCCGATTCATGCCCCTCCCTCTGCCCTCCCCGCTCACCATGCTCTGTCTCTGTCCCAAAAATAAAAATAAACGTTGAAAAAAAAAAAAAAAAAAATTCCTATACTGGTTTTTGCAATCAGGCTGACATTTTAGAAGTTCATATCTTTATTACAGTGTCACTGGAATCAGTTGTTGTTGAAGCATTTCTGGCAATACCTCTCTCCTTTCAGACAAAAATTATTCTCTGCTCATTACATCAAACTCTTAAAAAAGTTCTTTATTAGAATAACCTAAAGTGACAGGACAAAAAAAAAAAAATAGATCAGCTTTTGGAAAGGTCTTATTTTACCATATCTGTTCAACTTGGTTACAAAAACTATACATAGAGCTCCAGATTCTTAAAACTAATCTTTTTTAATGGCCTCTATATTTTTAAAATATTTATTAGAAATATAGGCAAAGATAAAAATAAAAATAAAATAAATATGGTCCCAAGTTCCATAATTAAAGCTGTATTTTCTTTTCTGGTTTATTAAAATATAGTTAGTTTATTTAATAAAAACATGCTCTGACACATATACTTACTTCATTTGTAGCCATCTTCCTAGATCTTGGAAGTGGAGACTTCCTGTGTATATGAATTGGCTCTGATACCATTGGTTTGAACAGTATCACAGCACGATCAACCTCATCTTTTTTAGAAGTATGTGGTTCCTCATCATTATCAATTTTAAAAGATCTCCTGCCTTCATTCTGTAGGCAAAGAATACAACATATAAAATTCAGATAAATTCTCTTCTGATGAACGAATTCAACCACCAGTTGGTGAAGTCAGTTGAAGTACATATACAAGTTTGTTTATTCAAATCAATCCATATTAATTGAATTTTTACAACAGCCTAGTACTATACTAGGTATCATGAGACAGATGACAGAGTACCCAACTTTAATAAAAACATATACTCCACAGAGAAATTAAACAGCTAAATGACAATATAAAGCCATCTAAAACAAAGTACTTAATTTTTATCAAAAGCCAAAATAAATAAGAAATAATAACAAATAACAGTAATAACAGACATCAATTTTATTATATAGGAATGGCATCAGCATGAGCACAAACTAAAACAGCATTTTAATTTATAAATTTCAGAATATTTAAATTCTGTTCCAAATATTCCCAACACATGTGATGACTACATACATAAATAATCATGCGATGACCTACTAAATATTTACTGGGTGTGCCAGGACACAGATGAATAAGATAAAGTCCCAGGTAAAAGATAAACAAATTAAAAAAATGTATACCAAATATATATCTATAATAGAAAAAGTAAATTGGGGCATAGTCATAACACTAAAACACGTATTGTAAAGCAGTAACAATGAACAGACTAAAAGTAAATATAATTATATCAAAGAATCTCACAAACATAAGATTAGCAAAAAGAAGTCAAGCAGAAGTACCTAAAACCCCTCATCAAACTAAGGAGTATAGGAAATGAAGAGGAACTTCTTTCATTGGTTAAGGGATATCTAAAATCTTGACACAAGGGATATCTAAAATCTTGACAACTGAGCCTGGGTGGCGGCTCAGGTGGTTGAGCATCTGACTTTAGCTCAGGTCATGATCTAACGGCTTATGAGTTCGAGCCCTGCGTGGGGTTGTGCTTACAGCTCAGAGCCTGGAGCCTGCTTTGGATTCTGTGTCTCCCACTCTCTCAGCGCCTCCCCTGCTCGTGCTTGCTCATTCTCTCTCTCTCTCTCTCTCTCTCTCTCTCTCTCTCTCTCTCTCTCTCTCTCTCAAAATAAATAAACATTAAAAAAAAAAAGATCTTGACACATCATCAGTTAATAAATCACTGAAATATTAGTGTGTCTACCATTACTAAATCTACTCAACATTGCACTGGACATTTGTCACAATTAATAGATATGATCATATACATAGGAAATCCAAATGACTCTATGGATAAACTACTAGAATGAATAATAGCATGCAGTGAGGCTGCTAGTTATAAAATCTTCATATAAAAATGAGTTAAAATTCAATTTGACAATAACAAACAAAGGAGAATTTGAATAAACCACTTATGATAGTATAAAAATACAAAGAACTAGGAACTAATCTGACAAAGATACAACACATGAAAAAAATCCCTTAATTGTATCAAAAAGATATAAAAATAGCTAAATAAATTCAGAGTTATACCAAGTCCTTGTTATTGCCCTCAAAATTGATCTGGAGAATTTATGTAATCTCAATCAAAATCCCAAAAAGATCTCTTTGCAACATTACTTTTTGCTTTAGCTTGAGAATGTCTAAGTGTTTAGTATCAACACTTCTATTCAACACCATACTGGTCCAAGCTAGTAGCACTTCATAAAAGCATATCCAAATGGCCAATAAACATATGAAAAGGTGCCAATCGTTACTGGTCATGAGGATAATGTAAATTTAAACCATGACAAGAAATCACTACATATCCCTCAAATGGCTACACTAAAAAAAAATCTATCTATATCTATGTCTATGTCTATGTCTATGTCCATATCTATATCTAATTCTATATCTATATCTGTATCTATATCTGTATCTGTATCTGTATCTATATCATACCAGGGGCTGACAAAGATGGCAGTATCTTTAGAAAACTATTTGACTGTATTATCTCAAGCTGAACATATGCACACCCTATGACCTAGCAAGTTTACTCTTTGATGTATATCCAAAAGAAATGTGTACATATATTCACCAAAAGACTTGTACAAGAATGTTCATGAAAGCACTCATCTTCATAGCTTGAACTGGAAACAAATGATCAAAGTGGAATAGATGAACACATTGCACTATATTTACTTCTATTTATTGTTGCCATGTAATCCTATATGACAACAGAAACAACAGAATGGATGAAACTCATTAACATAATGAAAGAAAACCCACCCCACACCCCCAAAAAAGCATGTATTTTGTGATTTCATTTATAACAAGTTCAAAAATAGGCATAATTAAAACATGGTGCTGTCTTGATAGGTATCTTTGGGGAGAAGACAGGGAGGCTATGACAGGGAGGGGCACAACTGGATCTTCTGGAATGATGATATTATTCTATTACCTGGTTGGCTGTTTTATAATTGTGTTCATTTTGCAATACATCATTAAGCTATACACTTTGGATTTATCAATATGAGTTATAGTTTAGTAAAAAGTTTTAAATTTAATATATATTTAACTTTGTAAGATTACTCTAAGAATTAAAATACAGTAATTTGTGCCAAGTGCTTATTAGCACAATGTTTACCATGCAATAGTGCTCTGTGGGAGATGCAGGAGAGAAGCATCAAAGGAAAAGACTTCAAAAGGGAAAGGCTGGAGAAGGTGCAAGGCCTTAGGAAATGTTTACATACCTGAACTAGGCTGGCTAGACTCCTAAGCCTAGAGCCATTAACATTGTCCAGGGCCGGATCCTCCTTCACACCTGACCCTTCCTAGTGTTATAGCAACAATTAACTCGAAATTCAACCTTGAAAAGCTAAACCATTAGATTAATTAATACTTGCTTAGATGACTTTATGCACAATTATCCTAACAAAAAGCTTCATTCTGGAGTCGGGGGCCCTGGGGCCTCATTCCATCCAGTATGAGGACCTTTGCTTAACTGCACTTCATTTGTGCACTCATCTTTTGCGACAGGCCATACTCCCTGCAACAGTGCTCAAGTAATACGACTAAAACCCAAACCAAAACTATAGTTAAGCATTGTAAATAATGGCCTTAAAAATACAAAAAGTTTAGGGGCCCCGGGGTGGCTCAGTCGGTTAAGTGTCAGACTTGGGCTCAGATCATGATCTCCTGGCTTGTGAGTTCGAGCCCCATATTGGATTCTGTGTTAACAGCTCAGAGCCTGGAGCCTGCTTGGATTCTGTGTCTCCCTCTCTCTCTGCCCCTACCCAGCTCGAGCTCTGTTTCTGTCTCTGTCACTGTCTCTCTCTCAAAAATGAATAACATCAAAAAAAATTTTGAAAAAAATACAAAAAAATCTAAATAAAACATAAAATTCTAGTATGCTCAGAAATGTTGTCCTCCCAGGGTGCCTGGGTGGCTCAGTTGGTTAAGTCTTCAACTCCTGATTTCGGCTCAGGTCATGATCTCACAGTATATAACCAAGCCCTGAGAATTTCACCTTTATTACCTCTCTTGAAGCTGGTCTATATCCATAGCCTGATGGTAAATTTTTGTCTTCTTCGCATCCTTTAGCTCCAGGACTAAAATGTAATTCAACATGAAAGCGTTCCTCTGAGGAAAGATCCTAAAAAATATTATAGAACATTTTCAAAATGAAAAACGTCAGGCTATTTATTTACCTATGGTAATACACCCAAATCAAGAACTCTTTTTACCTTGTTAGGATCCTCATAAAGCATGATAACAATCTGAGTCATATAATTGAGTTCATTGACAACATTTAAGTAATCCATAGCCCGTTTCCACTGTTCATCCTTCGATTCCTAAACAAAAGGTATATGGTAAGCATTTTCTCCTATTGCTTTACTTGAAAGTCACTCTATTTTCATTATGGTAGTTATTTAATCTTGAGTGATACCATACAAATAAGGTAAATAAGTATATGCTCAACCTCTCAAAATAACTCCACTATCTTTAAGTCTTGATAAATTACTTATGCTTAGGTAAATTATTTTAAAAATCTGTTATGGCATTCTTAGAAAGTCTAGTGGTAACTTTTTTTAATAGCTTCTAGAATTTAAAAATTAAAAATCTCTTGAAATACAAACCCACAACTGAATTCTGAGGGTAAGGAGCAGTGAGTTGTTAACCTTAAGTTCCAAAGTACCTAATGTAGTATCATGCTTCGTAAACTGAATACTATCGTCTAAGAATAGAGCTATTTTTCCACCATCAAATAGTGCATGTATGTATTACATGCCTATCAGTAAATATGCCTTGTTACACTGCAGTGGTATTTAAAATAATCAGCAGGAGGTGGCACATGTAGATTCCATTAATCTTACCATCTCCTTCATCGCTCCTCCACCTTCATTTAGATAATCATGGTCTTTAAATATCTAATCACAGATCATCAGAACTGAAAGGGATCCTAGAGAACATGAACTACAAACATTCTAAGTAGAAAATTCTATCTGAAAAGGTTAAACTAGTCAAGGTACAAAGTCTACAGTCAATAGTCAATAGGGTCCACATCACAGAAAACTCTCTTCCACATGTCATAAACTTTAGAATAAAGGTATACAACAATTTTTTGCATATAGTAAGAGTATTCAGTATTTTGCACTTCAGTATAAAATGTGCATTGTTTTAAGAAATGAAATTTGATATACAAAAGCCCAAACTTATAACACCACATGTTAATTGCATATTAAAAAACCCAGAAAACAAAACTAGCATGTATTTCCTTTTCAAATTTAGGCACTCAACATCCCTGAGGAAGCATGCCCCTTTTCAAGTTTATGGAAGAGTAAAATTAAATATACATCATATAATTTGTATTCTTCCATGTGTGCTTAGCATCATTGTAACAAATGGCTATCCACACCTCTAAATGCTGTAATGCCAAGCTATCAAAGCGGCTACTCTTAACCTAAGCAATATTCCAGAGAAACAACTGCATCTGTGTGTTTGTGAGTGTATTTGCGGAAGGTATATGTGCAAAGATATATACATTTTTTTCAAAATTAATAAAGAAAAATATAAGTTAGTATAACATTTCTGAGTTATACTAAATGAGAATTACTATAAATGAAGGGTTTAAATTAAACACTAAAAATTTTCAATAGGTTCATGATCCTACATTATGAATAAGAACACCATCTAATAATATCTAATTCAGTGCTGTAGGTACAGGTTCTGCTAGGTCAGTGCTAATGAAGAGATGAAATTAAATAATATTTAGTAGCACTTTTATATTTATATACATTATATATAGTACTATATATCTTTATATACTATACATATTGTATATATAATAATATATATCTATATATATACTATGTGTAGTATGTACATAATATATATAGCACTATATATACTACATATTTAGTATATTTAGCATATATTTAGTAACTTCCTGAATATAGTCAGTATGCAAAAATCCATAAAAACCTTTTTTTTTTAAATTAAGTCTCATTCAATATAGTCCCTGAAATCTTGTTTACAATATTGTTTCCTTAATAAACACCTTTAAAAAAAAATCTATTATGGAGAGCTAGATTTTACCGAGTTCACACTGAAAAATCTACAATTTCAAAATCTACAATTTCAGGGTTTTAAGTATATTAGTTACAGGGTCTTATAAAGATATTATGACCTGGGACAATGATTTATAGTTCAAATAAATTAATTTTTTTAAATTAGCAAATGGGACATCATATTGATATTATAGACTTTACATGTATTTACTAATGTGAAAAATACTTTTTTTTTTTCGAAAATCTGGAAGCAGAGTTTTAAAAGAATGGTGTTCAGTTTCTGTTTTACAAATGCAGCCGAGCGTGAGATATACTCAACAAGCTCTAGTGTATTGCCACCACCCTAGTCCAAATTACATCATCTTTTTTAGATCACTGCCATAGCTTCCTAACTGGTTTCTTCTTATCTACTCCAGCCTATCTGCTGTCCACGCAGCAACCAAAGCCATTTACTTCCCTGCTTAAAAATTGCTTCCTAATCCCTTTAGGATTCCCAAAGCACTGGCTCTTCATCCTTATTTGTTGCCATTTTCTCCATTGCTCACTATTATGCTCCATAGCCTTGTTCTATTGGTTCCTATATTTTCCATGCTTCATCCCCTAAGTAAATGTAAGAGAGTAAAAAATGAACCATGTAAGAGACGTAGTTCTCTCCCCCAAGAACAATTCCATCATTACTACTGGATATATGAATTCTTGCCTTGCTAATTAAGGGTCATTTTTTTCCCCAACTATTTCATTTATTAAAGCTGCAAGGGATGTCACTTGGCTATTCCTTAGGGACCAACAAGAAACCAAAATAAGAGGGAAGAACATATGAATTAGAAAACATGATTCGAACAGAACACTGAAATAACTTCAGGGTTACTTTAATTATTAGTTATTCATCAAGGCTAATAATAAAATTAAGAATCAAGAGACATAAAAAACAAATCTTCATTATACATCTAATTTCTCTTTACTAAAAAAGTAGGAAAACAAGGCTGGATTTTCTTTTAAGGACCGACCATTTTGTTAACAGATGTGTATAGATGTGTACATCAATATATATACCAATGTCAAATTTAGGATGTAATAGAATAAGAAAATTAAAGGAAAATTCTTATTTGTTGCTATTTTACAGATGATGCAAAAATATTTTTGATATAAAACAGGGTGACATTGTATTTTGGATAATCTATGGTTTGGGTATACTGAGAAACAAAGAAGATATTAAAATTTTTAAGTCTCTTTGGTACATTATCACTTCCATTGTCAATCCCTACAATGTCATTTTTTTTATCTTTTCAAATGCAAAATCTCTGGGAATCTTATTACCAGCCACTACTTTACTGTCATTAATATGTTGGCTTAACTCTGTACCTTTAACTCACATCTGTGTCCTCACATATGAACATACTCAAGCTGTCTAAAACTAAACTTACTACTTTCTTTCTAAGACCTGATCCTCTCTGTAGGTGTTACTTTTATCAGCGAATGGGTAGGAATATCTACCAATTTACCCGTATTAGAGATATGGGAATCTTTCTCAGTTCTCTTCTCTTTCTTACCCTTCATACCTGTGAGCACTGGAAGGCTCTCAAGGAGAGCATTAGTGAAAGCCTAATGGGCCGTGAAAAGGTTGTTGGTCAGGGATTATAGAAAGAAAAATGTTACTGGAAGGTATAAGAAAAAGAACTCTTGCTATGTAGTGGCATAAAGTGTAAAAACACTAGCCTGTAGATGGTGGAAAATAAAAAGTATATCTAATGAGCTAGCTATGGAGATTTCTAGGACAAGTACTGAACATGTCATCAAGATTCTTCTCACTGCCTGTGACAGGAGACAGCTAAGCTGCAGGGAAACTGTCAATTACAAAGAAGCCAAGACTTCAAAAAAAAAAAACACACACACACCAAAAAAACTGTTCCTCATTCCGAGCCTTTTTAGGGAACAAACAATGCTGTAATTAAAAGATGGCTTTCAGGAAGAAAGGGTACACAGGAATCCGCCATGAAAACGATGTGATTGCAAAAACACTTGTTAAGACCTCAAATCCTCCAAAGAAACAGAAGACTTCCTCAAGATCTTAGGAATATGTTTTTCAGATGCTCAGAATTAAATAATAAGGATTGCTGAATGCCATCCCTTAATAACCACAGAGAGAACCCAAGGTAGAAAAGGGCTTATCCTTAAGAGATCTTTGGGTATGATTTATTTAGTACAATGTATTTCAAATTACTCCAGAATGATAGAACCCTAATTAAAGAATGGGCAACATGTACCTAGGCAGATTTCAAAATTGCTATGACCAATGACTACAGTATACCTTCTGTTTTACCCTCTCTTGAAAAGTTTATCTACTATAATTATCTCATGCCTAACCCACCACTGTATAATGGGTATTTGAAGGACAGATAATTGGTCTCTTCAGTGCATAGGTCTTTAAGACTGAATGCTTTTGAGCACTCAAGGAGTTGTGTCCAAGGAGCCCCACCTACATCTGGACTTGACTTAGATGAAGAAGCCTGGGATGCCAAGTTTATAATTAAATAGGATAGGATGGGTATTACTGGGTAAAAGGTTAAGTGAATTTTGAATATGGGAGAAATATGGATTGTGTGGTCAAGATGAGACATATTCTCATCAGATAATATGACAGTGACACTCCACTCATGTAGTAAGGTGGATCTATCTCCCCACCTCTTGAACTTGGATAAACCTCTGTGATTGCCTCGATCAATACAGCTCAGTATAAGTGATGTTATGTGACTTTGTAAGTTAGGTCATAAAAATGTCTTGCACTTGCACCTTGTTCCATTATGAAACTAAATCTTGGAACTCAGCTACCATGTTTGGAGGAAGCAGGTCACATGAAGAGGCCAGAGGTAAGTATTGTGGTCAAGAACTCAAGCTGAAGTTCTAGCTGACATACAGCATCAAGCACCAGACATGAGGAAAGCTTTAGATGATTCAAACCCCAGTCACTGTCTAACTACAACCTCATGAGAGACCCAAAGCGAAACTGCCTAAGTATATACCAGTCAATCCTTTAAGCTGTGAGATAAAAATGTGATTGTTTTAAGCTAAACTTTGGAATGATTCATTACTAACAGTAGATGAGAGGAGCAATATCCAAACAAACATCAAGTTCTTTCTAACCCCTAAATAACTCAAATTTATCAGCTTCTCTTTATCTTATTACCACCAGCCTATAACATCATCTAAAATACTTTGCATTTGGGGCACCTGGGTGGCTCAGTTGGTTAAGCGGCCGACTTCGGCTCAGGTCATGATCTTGCGGTCTGTGAGTTCGAGCCCTGCGTCGGGCTCTGTGCTGACAGCTCAGAGCCTGGAGACTGTTTCAGATTCTGTGTCTCCCTCTCTCTGACCCTCCCCCGTTCATGCTCTGTCTCTCTGTGTCTCAAAAATGAATAAACGTTAAAACAAAATTTTTTTTTAAATATTTTGCATTATTGTTTGTTTAAATTAATCTTCTCCAAAGGGAAGGGAACATGTCTTTATTCCCAACATCTATCACAGTGCTTGGAATATAGTAGACCCTTGACAAATGATGGCAAATGATCAACTGTTGAAACTGCACAAAGACTAGTGTTAGTGATTTGATTACAAATTCACAGAACCATATTTGTTAAGTAGATTGGAATAACTTACTTTACTTACATTGCATAAGGCACCATAGCGAAGAATAGATAGTAAAGAATGTACATGACTTTCACTGGTAAAATATAACCTGGTACGGACATGACGTTCAGGAGACAGAACACCTCTGGAATACCTGAAGTTAGTAGCAGACAGTATTAGAATATAAGCATACAGTCAAAACTCATTAAGTACTGACATTATTTTGTAAAATGGAACTTAATCTTACTAGAAGTCAAAGACCACAATAAGTAAATCTATCAGTCTTCCAACCACAAGGAGGAGTTACCTTAGTAGATATTTCTCTAACATGAAGATTAACTAGAACTAACTAGAAGTTCTGAGATTAGTCAAAACAAAAGTTAACATTAGTCAAGTTCACTGCAAATAATTTGGTCATTTTAGCTCCTCTATTAGTAATGACAAATGTCTTAGCACTAAGGAAGTTCACAGACATTTATGGTGCTGAATGGGGTACACATTGATGATCCCATGTGAATGATGACACATATCACCTTTTCCTGTTCACCTCAGTTTTTCCTCAATTTGGAGACTTAAAGAACCTTGGTTGGAAGTTAACTGTTAGGAATATCTAGGTAATCCTTATTTCCATAGTGCGCTAAGTGACACATTCCTGATTTCTTCATAGGAACATTAGAGTTGAAGTATGGAAAAACAGATGCCTACAGATTCAAATACCAGTACAGTCTCTTACACAGGGTGGAGTTTATTTACAGTGTCATCATCTTGTGTCCTCTGAAGGTCTGAGCGAATTTTTCTAACTAGAGGAGTACAGTAGCCTTTGGCAATCTCCAGTTTTTCAGCTTTAGTTATACCATATTCCTGAGCAGAAAATACATGATATTAGAAAAAGGGTATAATGACAAAGCACTCTAACAAATGCACTGCTAAAACATTCTAGTAACAGACAAAATATTTCTATTAAGCTTTTTTTTTTTAATATTACACAATTCCTAGTTTACATTTTTTGCAACTGCAAGGATACTATTCCTACAACTATTAAGTATAATGGGAAAATTTCTTTTGGTAGAACTGAAAAAGCAAGTGATTTCTTAAAAGGGAAGGATGAATGGATGAATGTAATCTTTATGGACAGTAGCTCAACTCAATCATAAAGTTTTCAATGAAGAAATAACCCTAAAAGAAAGATGGATTAAGGACATAAACACTAAAGCACAGAACAACAATCAATAACCCTATGAAAAGAAATATAAATAAATGAAACCATGAGATTTGATTTAAATGTCCAAGATGAAAAAGGCTAAACAATTATTTAAAAGCCTTTGGCTAATACTTTTATTTATTTATTTTATTTTATTTTATTTTATTTAAAAAAAATTTTTTTTTCAACGTTTATTTATTTTGGGGACAGAGAGAGACAGAGCATGAACGGGGGAGGGGCAGAGAGAGAGGGAGACACAGAATCGGAAACAGGCTCCAGGCTCTGAGCCATCAGCCCAGAGCCCGACGCGGGGCTCGAACTCCCAGACCGCGAGATCGTGACCTGGCTGAAGTCGGACGCTTAACCGACTGCGCCACCCAGGCGCCCCTGGCTAATACTTTTAAAGACTTACCTAGTAGTGAGCAAGAAATGTCATGAAATTGTCAAATTTAATGATGCCTATAATAATGAGTTAATTAAATTTACAATGAGGAATTACGATATGAAGTGTTAAGAGAACATACTCATAATTGTAATAAAAATGAGATCAAAGAGGTAGATTTAAAAATGACCTGATGTGTGAAGAGAAAAAGCTGTGACAGCTGTGTAGATGGAAAGAGGGAGAAAGCAGAAAAGTGGAGTGGGAGGGACAGAGACAGAAAGGAGAGAAGAGAGAAGGAAGGAAGAAACAGGCATACTATCTCTCTCCAAGTTCATTGAGGATATCTGAATTTATTTATTTATTTTTTTTTTTTAAATTTTTTTTTTCAACATTTATTTATTTTGGGGACAGAGAGAGACAGAGCATGAACGGGGGAGGGGCAGAGAGAGAGGGAGACACAGGATCAGAAACAGGCTCCAAGCTCTGAGCCATCAGCCCAGAGCCTGACGCGGGGCTCGAACTCACGGACCGCGAGATCGTGACCTGGCTGAAGCCGGACGCTTAACCGACTGCGCCACCCAGGCGCCCCTCAGGATATCTGAATTTAAAGGCTACTTCCTGCTATCAGGAACTTCCCAGATAGCAAAAATTATTTATGGATAACAGATCTGAAAAGTGCCAAATAAAGAAGAGGTTGATCGATTACAGATGGAAGGCCTATGAAAATACTTCTTGGTGTCATTTATCTTAAACTAAAGCTTCATTGGTTCAATAATCTTATCAACATAGGTGACTGTGAATTGGGTATGCAAAAAACATGTATGTATACATATAATTGTGTATATGTGAACAAAAGGAAAATATTGGCATTAAAAATCATCAGGGGAGGGGTCCCTTGGTGGCTCAGTCAGTTAAGCATCCGACTTTGGCTCAGGTAACAATCTCGCTGTCATGGGTTTGAGCCCCATATTGGGCTCTGCACTGACAGCTCAGAGCCTGGAACCTGCTTTGGATTCTGTGTGTGTCTCTCTCTCCTCCCCTGTTCACAGTCTGTCTCTCATTCTTTCTGAAAAATAAACATTAAAAAAATTTTTTTTTGTTGTATGAAAACCAATATGACAATAAATTTCATATATTAAAAAAATAATAAAATAAAAATTTAAAAAAAATCATCAGGGGGAAATTTTGTGTGTGTGTGTTGTTACCAAGGTATGAATAAACAGGTAGTCTTCTACACTGTTTAATTGGAAGAAAACTGGTAAAAGATTTCTGGAGCTACAGAAATAGTCTTGAGTGCATGTGAAGATGTTTAAAGAGAGCAAAATAAAAGATATCATGTTCCCAAATATGAAAAAATCATTACATAATTATTACATCATACCATTTAGCTATTAGAAATAACGATGTACATATAGGTTTAATAAAATGAAAGAAGTTCTTCGTTCTAAGTGAAGAGACAAAAATCAGGTTGTAAAATAGTATGGCTTTCCTGGTTCCCTTTTGCAAAGAATACATTTGTTATATGTATGAATTTATGAGAAAAACTGTATCTTCATGATTCAAGAGAAAAGTCCTTTAAGAATTTTCCGAAACATTAAAATGTTTTTCTCTAGTTGGTAACATCACAGTGATCTTTTTTGCTATTTCTACATTTTCTAACTTTACACATAAGTATATTAATTTTGTAATAAAGACATCTTTCCCTTTAACATATTGACATATTTTGTTCATCTGCTACCACCAACTGGGATCAAATAACTGTTAGATATTTTAGTTCTCAAGTGTAATTACAATATTTCTGCCATAAATAGGACTAACTAAAATACAAGATGAGGCTATCTGAAAGCTTATTATGTGGTTTTATTTAATGAGAGTGTCAATTGACTTTCTATGGCAAATACTGTTATAAACAATCCTCTGCATTTCACAATCCATAAATATTCAAAGACACGGTTTTCAAACTTTCTTAAATGTGATCTCTGTTAAGAAAACCTTAATACCAAATTTAGTCTTTACATACTCTTATTGACTGCCATACTATCATGATGATTTTAAAGTATCATTTTTAAGCCAGGACCTCTATTTGCTGAAAATTGAGACTGGTCAAAAGGTGAAAAGTTAATTTTATCACAGCAAAAATTCTGTTAACAGCTGAAAATTAGTTTAACTGTTAAAATAATTAAAAGTAATTATGTTGTATTTAAGCTTAGATATGATTAGAAGCACATATTTCACATAGCACTGATATAAAAATCAGTTCAATGTAAGAGTAGAAATGTATTTTTAGAGGTATAGCAACACTTTGAGGTACACCAGAGCATATATGCATTTTTCTTGCAGAGACAGTGATATTCTCTAAAACTAAATTAGTATATTCTAAACAAGTCAAAATTTTACATTATTTAACTGAATCAAGTCTCTCTGCTTGAAATACTCTTTATTTCCTTGAAAATGAGGTAGGCAAAATTTTCATTTTTCCCCATTATAAACTATAGTATCATTACAATTACTACATATACATTAGTAATTTTTAGTTTGTTCAGTGATTGAAAAATGCCTGTTTTTTTTGTTTTGTTTTGTTTTGTTTTTTGTCCATGGTTCTGGATTTATAAAGGCTTACTTAAAGTAACAAAACAAAATATTATTTATTGGAATGAATTCAGCACTTCATTAGAAAAGAAGAGATCCCAAATTTTTGCCACAATAAAGAGTATCAAACCAAAAAGTTAGGGAGGTAAACCCAAAGTTGTCCTTTCCTCAAATTATAATTTCAAAACTCTAGGAAAGCATGTAAAAAAAAAACTGCTGCTTTTAAAGTTATAACTTTACCAAAATACAATTATGAATTTACCAAAAATAAGACTGATTCTGGTAAGCTTGGACAAAATGCTGTCTGAAGAGTTGTAAGATTTAAAAAATAAATAATTTATCCAAGAAAAAAATTCTGGAGATGTCTTCAAATAAGTTCTCAGACTGCTGAGAAGATCTAAGCTAAGTGCATCAAAAGACAATGTAACAGAGACTGAGAACCACTGAGCAAGACCAATTACTTTAAAAGATACAAATGACATCTCAAATCTTTCCCAAACTATTCTCATTTTTACTGGTTCTTTTAATTACAGTACTTTAAAAAATTCATTATAAAAATTTAAGTTACAAGGAGATGGTAAGAAATTTCTTCAGTGATGTAAGTAATATACCTGAAATACATACATAACACATAGGAGAGATTACATCTAAAACCCTTTTAACACTTGACTATCTTTTTAAGCCCAACTCTAAGAAACCAACTTTTCATTCCCAATTCTAGAACATGTAGTATATACATAACTGAAAAAGAGGAGACATGAGGTAAAATAAGCCATGTAACAAAACAGACATGATTATGTAACAAATCATTTGTGTATTTAGCCACTAAAGTGGTAAGTATAGATATACTTAAAGCATACTTTGAATAATGAATATAGTCACCTGAAATATTTAAGAATCTTATATTAACAGCTCACCTGTTAAACAGCATACTTAAAAATAATCTCCACTGTAAGAGTAAGTATAAATAATGTGCACTGAACCTAATATGCACAAAGCAATACAAAACAGTGAAAAAAAAACTGGATCTTACTTACACTTCCAACCAGTGAATCATGTAATATACCAAAGATGGTCTATATTATACATCTAATCAAACAAATAAGCAGTGTTCTCTCATGCTGAAAGAATAAGCTAATCTTTAACATGAACACAAGTAATTATAGGCAAGTTGTGCACTGTCTGAATTTCCAGTTTGTCAAAGCCTGTAGTTTTTCCTGAACTTTCTGTAAATAGTAAGGACACTGATCTTAATTATTTTTATATGTATCTTTAAGTGAAGCAACTTTTGCTCAGAATCCTCATACTCTTCATGTATTCCATTTTTTCCTGCTTTTTAAGTTTGCTCATAGTTGGAATGTCTGATTTACTCCAATCTCCTCTTTAAAGGTCTTTTTTTTAATTTTTTTAACGTTTATTTATTTTTGAGACAGAGAGAGAGACAGAGCATGAACGGGGGAGGGTCAGAGAGAGAGGGAGACACAGAATCTAAACAGGCTCCAGGCTCTGAGCCATCAGCACAGAGCCTGACGCGGGGCTTGAACTCACGGACCGTGAGATCATGACCTGAGCCGAAGTCGGACGCTCAACTGACTGCGCCACCCAGGCGCCCCTCCAATCTCCTCTTTACAGTATCCACATAATCATTAGTAATTAAGTTGAAAACGGGTCCCAAAAGGGTATCTGCTAACATTTCCTGTATCTCAATTTGTCTTGTTACTTACCTGTTTATTATCAATCTGATTCTCTGCCCTAATTACATTTAAATTATTTGAATTCTGGTTACACCTTTATTTTTATTCTCCTATAAATGAAAAGACCCATGACCCAACCCACACCCCTCCGATAACAACTTACACCTTGACCTCTAAATAATAATTTCAAAATACTTGCACATGAAGTAAAAAGACTTGCAAAATTTGGAGCCACAGCTACGTTTTTCTCCCATTCCTCACATATTTTCATAGCACAGACTTGATAGGTACATAATGGGTACCCAGCAAACACTTAAGTAATTTATTCCACTCTGTTTTAGTTGTCTTGTTTGTTAGATATTACTGTTCTTTAAGAGTATTAATTCTTAAATTTTAAAAAGTCACTATAATCAAACTATTAGAAAATCAGGTAATGACTTACTATACTAAAAAAGTTTTGAATATAAAATTCACAATTATTCAGTTTCCTTTTAAAAGTTATGGATTTTATAGACAGAAGAAAACCAACTATGTTTTTTTTTTTAATTTTTTTTTTTTAACGTTTATTTTATTTTTGAGACAGGGAGAGACAGAGCATGAACAGGGGAGGGTCAGAGAGAGGGAGACACAGAATCTGAAGCAGGCTCCAGGCTCTGAGCTGTCTGCACAGAGCCCGAAGAGGGGCTAGAACTCGCGGACTGTGAGATGATGACCTGAGCCAAAATCGGCCGCTCAACCGACTGAGCCACCCAGGCACCCCAAAACCAACTATGTTTTATCCAGTGATAGGCATTGTAAAAGAATCTACTCAACACTGTAAGAAAACTGATTCCTAGGAACTACTTACCTGAGGGATAACAATATCTGCTAATGCCTTTGAAAGCCTGTATAATTCCATTGTATTTTCTAATTTCAAGGAACCATTATGCTGAACATCATATTTTATACAGTCATATATGTCAGGGATTTTACTAATGTCGTATCTTCCATTCTTTGTTTTAAAGTCTTTTTCCAACTTGGACCATCTACGTAGCATAAGCTCTAATGTTTCACTATGGTAAAGTTGAATATCTAAAACAACATAACAAATTTAGCATATTAAACTTAGACTCAGATTAAGGGTATATATTAAAAAGTTGACAATTAGAAACATTTTTAAATATCAGAGGTATAACTGTTAAGAAAGTAGGGAATGTTACCATAGGAGTATACTATTAGTAACCATACATTTTATAAACTTAAATAAAAGATATAAATACATGGCTTAGGACTTGGGTTTGGGTTTGTAAAAGACTTATCCTCATGTTACACACTTCAATAATCAAAAGAAAAAGAACAATAACAAAACTCTTAGGCTAATACATTTTCAATTCAAAATTTAAATACTATATAATTTTCTTATTAGATTCACAAAACTAACAGAATAGACAGTCTTTAGCCGAAAGGAATCTTAGAAATCAAATAGCTGAAAGGGTTTATTCTTACCACTAAGAATCCTAGATTTCAAAGTTGCCAAATTAGAACCAAGCTAATCTCAGAGTGAGAGTCCAGATCTTCTTCCAATTGTTTGCTTCTTATTATGCTAGTTATTTGCTGCCTAACTATATAACAATGCTACATAATTAATCAAATAATATTTTATTATCTTTGTCATGCTATCATGGATAAAATAAACCATAACCTAATTATTATTCTTTTGCTGGATGTATGTTAACTCATACCTAGATATAGTATGAGACTTAATTTTTTAAGAATTGATGCATCTTATTTTAAAATGTTTATAGTAATTAGTTAATATTTTTATTTGCTTTATGTTCCAAGGCACATAGTATTTACCTGATGATTTGGGATCTTCCATTCGATGTCTGATCTGAGAAGTCAAACTTTGTATCAAGGAATAAACTTTGTCACAGGTCTTCACAGGATTTTTAATTAAATGCATTGATTTGATAAGAGAAATGCTCCCAGACGGAGTAAGCTACAAATGAGTAAAGTATATATTTCACATGTAGTTATGCCTAATTGTCCAAGAGAACAATATACAAAACTTTCCAGTAGTTGGAGAACAATTTAATACCACACATGAAGATGACCCCCCCAAATATAGTAATAACATCAAGAAGGAAGTAAAAATCTCAGAATTACATGTTAAAAAAATAGCAAACATAAGCTATCATTAGATTGTCCACAGAGAAAATTTAGCAAAAGTACTCTAACTTACAATGAGAGTTTATTCTAACAGTGACAAATTGCTGACTCAATATGGTTCTAGTCGTTCGACATATATTTACATGTAATAACACTAAGACTCTATTATTATCACCATCTTTTTCCAGATGAGGTACTTAACAGAGGTTAGGCAACTTGCCTAAGACCAAACCAAGAGTATGTCAAGAGTGGGATAAACTATAATGGATTCATATATAAATTTACCAGTAATTTATAATGTAAATAAAATTGCCTTAAACAAAGATTTTCATAATAAATTAAAAAAAAACTAGCTTTATGCAGATTTTGATACACCTAAAAATATAATTTCCAAGATTGAAAGTAAAAAAAGATATACAATGCAAAATCAAGTAAGAGGGGAAAAGCTGTTGTTACTATATTCATCTCAAAACTTTGAGGCAAAATGTACTGATTGAAATGTATCTATTCTAAATTTGCAATCTACCTAATAACATGGTATCAAATGTAAATATGTAAAGCAAAAATTAAGAGAACTACAAAGACAAGGAAAATCCACGAGTGAGAAATTTTAACACACAACAGTGAAGAAAAGAAAAAAGTCACAAAGTTTTGTTTTTATTGAAATGATAGAAAGTTCAAAATAAAAAAAGTTTAACTTAAAAATGTCATAGGTTTGGAAATTCTAAAACTACAGCTCTGAATCATCTATGACCAAAGAAGAAATCACAAAGGAAATTAGAAAATATCCCAAACTGCATAAACCACAAAATTTATGCGTATAATCATAAAGGGAAATTTATGGCCTAAAGTCCTTATTTTAGAAAAGATTGAACATTCAAGAATTAATAAGCAGACAGCTAGTGACACAGGTTTACAAAAGTGGAAGGAAAAAATATAAGCAAAAATTAATCAAGTGGAAAACAAGTGCAAAATTCAGAAGACCAACAAATCAGTTATTTCTTTGAAGGGAGTAATAAAGTATATTAACCATGGTTAAACTGATCAAGAGAAAAAAAACTGTAGAATGTTATGAAATAAGAAGTGACAACTCTACAAAATCCTATAGACATCACAAAGAATTTAAAGAGGATACGATAAACTCCTTCAACAATGTAACTTAATACTGACACAACACATAACAACAATTACTCTGGACTCCATGATTATAATGATTATTTGATTTCCCACAAAGAAAATGTCCATAGGATTTATCAGTAAATTTTACCGAACATTTCATTAAAGATATGTATACAAACTATTCTCCCAAAATAGGACTCCCTAACTAATTTTATGAGACTAGCATAATCCCGATATTGAAAGCAGACAAAGGCATAAGAATTAAAATGTAAAGGTTAATCTGAATCCTGAACATAGATGTAAAACTTCTAACCAAAAATAGTAAACCCAAACCAGTGAGATATATTAACACCACCACCACCACCACCACCACCACCACCACCACCACCACTATGTATATATGTAAACTGAATTTATTTTAGGAGCCAAGATAGCTTAACTTTATTTACTTTTAAGAAAAAGGGAGCATGAAAGGGACAGAGAGACAGGGGCACAGAAGATCCAAAGCAGGCTCTGTGCTGACAGCAGAGAGCCTGATGCAGGGCTCGAACTCAAGAACCGTGAGATCGCGACCTGAGCTGAAGTTGGACACTTAACTGACTAAGCCGCCCAGGTGCCCCAGAAGAGCCAAAATAGCTTTACATCACAAAAAATCATACGATGCAACAGATGAAAAGAAAATGATGAAATTCAGTAACTTTTCATGACAAAACTTTTAGCAAAATAGGGACAGAGTGAAATTTATTTTGAAACAGAATAGCTATTACAAAATGTACAGAAAACATACCTAACGGACAAGCATTAAAGGCTTTCTTTGAGAACATGGACAAGAAAATAAATGCCGCTTCTATTGAACATTGTTTTGAATGTGCCAGTTATTGAAGTTAAACAAGAAAAAGAATAAAACAAATAAGGATCAGAAAGGAAGAAACAAACCTGTGAGTATGCTTTTAAAGGACCAAAAAATCTACAGAAATATTATTAAACTAACAAATGAGTTCAATAAGGTTGATGCATATAAAGTCAATATTAAAAAGCTATTTCTATGTATCAATAATCAAAATAAAATTTTTAGAAGTACTATTTACAATGGCATAAAAATATATTAAGATAAATTTTCAGAAACTAGATTTGATGCATCTAAATCAATAACAACAGGATATTTGACAGCATATTTTAAAATTTATATGGAAATGCAAAAAAAGTCCTGAAAAACTTGAAGAAGGAAGCATGTAGGACTTGAGAGATCTTATTCAGTGGCCCAGGATCGAAAAAAGAATATAGTGTAGAAATAGACCACCAGATAGATTATAAAGATGATACTATAAAGTGATACTATAAAGGGGAGCCTTTCGGTATGTGGTATTGGTATATTTGGATGTATATACACTTGGCAAAAATTAAGTTTGACATCTTTACCTTATAGCACACACAAAAGTCAATTTTAGCTGGATTACAGATAAATGTGAAGGGCAAAACAGTAAAGCTTACAGAAGATCATGCATAAGAGTATTTTATGACCTCTAGTTAGAAAAAGAAACATTAAAATGCACTGACCACAAAGGGGAGTGGGAGATAGAGGCATCCAGTTATTGAAGTCATGAGGACAGACAGTACAGCATAGAGAATATGGTCAGTGGTACTGTAATAGCACTGTGTGGTGATAGATGGTAACTAGACTTGTGGTGCTGAGCAAAGCATAGAACATATAGATTTGTCTAATCACTATACTGTACACCTGAAACAACACTGTGTGTCAATTATACCTCACTAATTAAAAAAAAAAGAAAGAAATTAGACGACATCAAAACTGCACTGACCATAAAGGAAAAAATTCAACTTGGAATTCATGAAAAATAAGAACCTCTGCTTACTGAAAGACATCATAAAGGCTCAGAATAGGTGGTGGTATTTAGAACACATATCCAAAGAACCTCTACCACTCAATAAGAAAAAATACAGACAAAAGGTAGAAATAAAGGACAAGAGATTTAATAGAAGGCTTCATGAAAGACGATATCTAAATGGTCAAAAAACATCAAAGCCACGCTGAACTACTACACATCCATCTTCAGAATGGCCAAAACTGAATAGTCGGAGAATGCAAAGAATAGAGACTATGTAGAACAATGATTATTTTCATGGACTTCTAGTGGGAGTATAAATTGGTTCAATGACTTTGGAAAACAGTTTGACATTATCTGATACTGAAACTTAAGCATACTGTGGGTCACAACAATTCCAATCCTAGAATGTACCCAAGAGAATGTATGCTCATATGCAGTAGGAGACATACAAGGACACTCATAGAAATATTAATCACAACAGCCCCAAACTATAACAATGATACAAGGTATATATCAATTACGGTATGTTCATAAAATAGAATACGGGTCATTAAACTATGGCCTGCAGGCCAAATGTGGTCTGTGGCATAGCCCATGGACAAAGAAAGGTATTCACATTTTTATTTTTTAAGTTTACGTATTTATTTTTGACAGAGAGTGCATATGCAGGAGGGCAGAGAGAGACATAGAGGAGACAGAGAATCCCAAGTAGGCTACACACTGTCAGTGCAGAGTCTGACGTGGGGCTCAAACTCATGAACCACGACCTGAGTCCAAATCAAGAGACGGTCACCTAACCGACTAAGCTACCCAGGTGCCCCAGTATTTTTAAAAGGTGGTTAAAAATCAAAAAAGAGTATGCATCAAGAGATCACATGTGACCGGCAAAGCCTAAAATTTACTATCTGGTCTTCTACAGAAAAAGTTTGTTAGTCCCTGAAATAAAGTACTACATAGAACTGATTTTTAGTTAACTGTGGAAATTCTCAAAAATACAGATAAATGTCACAAACACGACATAGGGCACAAGAAGCCAAACATAAAAGAAAACCTAATCTAATGTAAGAAACTTAGAAAACAGCCAAAACTGAGACCATAGTAGTTAGGGATGATTACTTACCCAAATAAGTATTCTTGATATAAGAAGACTATAAAAAAGAGCACTATTAAGTCAGGATAGTAATTATGTCTAGGAGATTGGGAAGGAGTTGCAATTGAGAAGGGGCACAAAGGGATCAGAGGTGTCTCAATGTTCTATTTCTCCATCTGGATGGGGACTATAGGAGTATTTGCTTTATTTAAAAAAAAAAAAATTAATGTTTATTTTTGACACAGAGAGAGAGGCAGCTGAGCAGGACAGGGACAGCAAGAGAGGGAGACAAAGAATCCTAAGCAGGCTCCAGGCTCTGAGCCATCAGCACAGAGCCTGACACCGGGCTAGAACCCACGAACTGTGAGATCAACCTGAGCTGAAGTCAGGCGCTTAACGGACTGAGCCACCCAGGCACCCTTAGGAGTACTGCTTTATAATACAATAGGCTCTAAGTTTTTGTTTTATATACTTTTTGTTATAAGTTTTGTTATAAGTTTGTTATAAGTTTTGTTTTTATATACTTTTATATGTGTGTGCGTATTTCACAATATAGAAGAGTTTGCTAAGACCCACCTTTTCATAATCTTCAGCCGTAAAATCTCTATCTTTCTGAAGTATTTCATGAAGTCTTGCTTTCACACGTTGCTGGCAACTGCTCAAAGAGTCACTATCACTATCCAAAAGACCATTCATATTCGCACTTTTTACCATCTGAACAAGAATGGGTGTAAGCTCTCCTTCTAGGGCTAAGAGCCCCTAAACATATTAAATAAAGCCAACACAAATTCAAAAATTAGTATGCAAATTAATGAAAAGTATCATAATTATTTTGTTACATGCTGAATTTCATAAGGAATAAGCTAACTATTTGCAATGAATAAACTTTATTAATAATACAACCTATCACAATTTCAGGGCTTGAGCTGGAAATTTCAAATTTGGAATGTTTAAATATTGCCTTAGCAAAAATCTTTTAAAATGTGGTATTAGATGAAATTTCTAGTAATTCTGAAAAACATTTATTTATACCTTTGCAAAAGCAGCTGCAGTCATCTGGACTCGTCCTTCATCAGAGGCATATATTTTGAGGTCATGTCGGTAGGTACTATGTAATCTAAGTAAACCACAACCAGGAAATCCTGCATAATCTCCTGAAAATAAATACTCAAATCACTTAAGCTATATTTTTGTCTCAGTGTATTTCTATAAATATTTAGTAACATCTCAAAATAAGTGAAGATTTGAAAAAACAATGCATAAACTTAACCAAATTAAAGAAACTCCAAGATTTACCTTGACCTCCAGGATACATACACCTGAAAGCTCTTCCAAGTTCTTCGGCCTGGACCCTGCCTGCAGGAGTTAGTTCTCCTCCCCATTTTAGAACCAAAAGTAAGGATGGTTCTTCTCTTCGGCTGTCTAAGATATATGTTAATGAATAAAAGCAAATAAATGTCAAGTTTGTTTCTTTTAAAGAGGCGTGTTTCAAGATTAATTTTTTCTTTATTTTCTCTTCTGTAGCAGAAAATAGCTTTTATGTAAATTATTTTGTTCCTTTGAACATACCTATCTTTGTATGCTTTTGATTCTGTAGGGAACAACCCTTGCTCTACCTGTTAAAATCTTACTCTAATTTCATAATCTCTTCCTCACTTTAGGAAGAAGGCTCTTTCCCAGTTTTCTGAAAGGAAGTGATGTTTCCACCTTCCATGCTCTCATAGTGATATCACAGCAACAGTATTTGTCCAATATATTTAATTTAGTTGTCCCAGCTGTTACATTAAGAGCTCCTTCACCACAGGATCGAGATCTTGTCTTTATATCAAGAGGCTCGCATAAAAGGTGATGTTAGCCGAAGTGAAGATGTATACATTTTTACAAAGAGGAATCAATGATTTGCATAATTTTTTGAAAGATGTGAGAGAGCCTAAAACTTACTGTAATTTAAACTTATGAATGAGATATACAATAAAATGTAGCCAAGAGCAGCTTTTTAAATTTGGAATTGTGGGGGCACCTGGGTGGCTCGGTCGGTTAAGCATCCAACTTTGGCTCAGGTCATGATCTCACGGTCCGTGAGTTCGAGCCCTGCATCGGGCTCTGTGCTGACAGCTCAGAGCCTGGAGCCTGTTTCAGATTCTGTGTCTCCCTCTCTCCCTCTGCCCCTCCCCTGTTCATGCTCTGTCTCTGTCTCAAAAATAAATAAACGTTAAAAAAAAAAAAATTAAATTTGGAATTGTGTAATCTTTTTCTGTACCCGACCAAAGTTTTTTCTCAGATATTCCACAAGTGAATGAATTTCTGTACCTAATTTATCTGCTCTTTATGTCCTAAGATCTGCAATAGGCTACAGAAAAGAGGTAATTTAAAAATGAGCAATATAAGTGCTAAAAAACTTAATGATGATTCATGAAAAGTGATAGGAATCAACTTTGTGCCAGGGGTAGTACCTTGTAGTTGTATGTGCTTTATCATGCAGGCTAATATTAATTTATGGAAGGACAATTAATTAACAGACTTTTTCAATCATAGTTATATACAGAATATTTTTGATTACAAACATTAAAGTATAGGAAATTAATCTGTATTGCTACCAATCACAAAGTGTGACACAGTAGCAATGTCAAATTTTAAAATAAATATATGAAGATCAATATAAACAAACTTGTGTTCACATTTAAGATAATCACTACTTCAATTTATGCCACTATAAATAATGCCATTTGGGATATCTCCACAGGCCAATCTTTCCCTGAATATTTGATCACTTCCTTGGGATAAATCCTTATAAGTAGAATTAACATATGAGAGATGACTGGGTGGCTCAGTTGGTTAAGCATCAGACTCTTGATTTCGGCTTAGGTCACGATCTCATGATTTGTGAGTTTGAGCTCCATACGGGGCTCAGCACTGTCAGTGCAGAGCCTGCTTGGGATTCTCTCTCTCTCTCTCTCTCTCTCTCTCT